CCCCTAATCTAGTAACTTTCTAATACCCTTTTAAGGGGTTCACAAATCCCTGAAAGGGTTAATGAGTATGCTTCATTTTTTGACATTTGCTTTTCTTTCACAAGTTTTTTTTTTTTTAAATCCCATCCTTATGTAAGTTTTTATGGTTTAGAGTGACTTATATAAATTCATATCTTTGAACTAATGGAAAATATTCTGCAGTTACAGTTGATCTATCTAGAGAGCAATGCTGCCTTTTGTACTTAAAGGCAAGATTACCCAGCTAGAGAGTAAGGTTACAGGTAGGACAGTAGTGGACAAACTTTCGAGGAGGAACACCTGCATTTCTGATGTTACATGGCTTCCCTCTTTTTGACCTTCCTTATATAGGGGGTATTTTGCTTTATCTGCAATATCTCTTCCCCCTTTCAGATTCTGCACTCCAGAAACTGTTTGCTGAAATAGATTTACCCTGAGAGATCACCACATTTTACTAGAGAGTTACGTTTTAACTAGCAATGAAAGATTTAAGGCAAAAAAAAAAAAAAAAAAGAATCCTTTGATGGGATTGTATGTATCACCAGCAAGATGGAGACGATGACTTTGAATTTATGTCTTTTCAAGAATTTGGACTCTCTGCCACATAGTCACTAGGCTTGGAATCAAGAAAACTGTTTTTTAATCCTGAATAATTTAAAGGTCACTTACAGCTCTAAGATACTGAATTTTATTCACAGAAACCTGAGTCATTAAAGTTAAGAACTGGGACTTGACTTTTTTAGGATTTCTCCTCAGAACTAGAAATACATGAAATATGCATGTCTATAGCTCTGTTATGTTGGATTCCTAGAAAAATCTGGTACTCATCTAGAGAAAACTGCCTAAACTTACACCTGGTTGTTTTTCTGAGGATAGCTATGTTCTCACTTTTTTCAGTTTTGAGGGTGTGTGTTTGTGTATAATGGGGCGGGGGATAAGAAACCATAGTGTCACAGATCCTGTTATCCTTAAATATTTTCTCCTCTTCAGAGTCCCCAGTAATCTTTGGGATTGTCCATTCAAGGACTATTACATTATATGTGTAAAGGAAAAAAAAAAAAAAAAAAACAATAAAAAAAAAAAAAAAACTTGTTCTTCAGGACCTTTAAATGGTCACAGATTTATTCAACTTGCTCCCTTTTCCACCATACAGAGCTTATCAGAACGTTCTCTGTATTTCAGACATTGCATACTTAATTATAAACAGACTGCCCTGACCTTGTCCTCTGTGTCTTTAACTCTCTCTTCCATATTAAAGGAGAGGCATTCAGAATTTTTTACTTTTTTGCACTCTCTTATCCCCATTCATCCACTCAACCTAATTCCTGGATTTGTTCAAGTGAGAATAGTTGCCACTTCCTCCTGTTAATTCTTAAACTGATGTCTCTCATCCCCTTGACAGAACACTGGAGTATTAAAACATTTGGTCCTGGAGCATAAGAGTAAAAAGAACCTATGTTTCTTGAGCACCTATAAGTCAAGGACAATGTCCAGGGTTCTTATGTAATCTAATTTAATCTTTTTTTTTTTTTTTTAAGGAATGTAGTATATTTTGTTTTTTATTATTTTTTGTTATTTTAAGAAATCTATTATTTTTAAAATTGAAGTATAGTTCACATGCAATATTATAGTAGTTTTAGGTGTACAGCATAGTGATTTGACGTTTTTATAACAATACAGGATGCTTACCATGATTAAGTGTAGTCACCATCTGTCACCACACAAAGTTATGACTATGTTATTGACTATATTTTCTGGGCTGTACTTTACATCCCTGTGACATTTATTTTATAACTGAAGTTGGTACCTTTTAATTTTCACCTACTTAGCTCATCCCTTCAACCTTCCTCCCCTCTGGAAGCCACCAGTTTGTTCTCTGTATTTATGAGTCTATTTTTGCTTTGTTTTGTTTGTTCATTAATTTTACTTTTAGGTTCCACATATAAGTAAAATCACGCAATATTCATTTTTTTCTATCTGACTTATTTCACTCTAGACCCATTCATGTTGTCACAAATGGCAAGATCTCCTTTTTATGGCTTAGTAATATTCCACACATATATCACATCTTTAACCATTCACATATCAGAGGACACTTTGGTTGTTTCCATATCATTTCCATATTATTTCATGCTAGTCTACACAGCAACTCTTCTAGTATAATATCTGTTCTACAGATTAAGAAAGTGAAACTCCAGAGATTTTGCATAACATCCAAAGTCAATTAGTTTATGTCAGATCAATTAATTTGTGTCAGTTAAAATCAACCCATCCAAACCTGGATGTTTTGGTTGACTCCAACATTCATGTTTCTTCTTTATTCATCTCTGGTTTTCGGGCTAATTTCCTAAAATAGTTTAGGCTGCTCATAATAAATGACCTAGTAAAACAGTCAAAAATAAATACCCACAAAAAAGAAATGGAGAAGGGAAGTGTGACAGGATTTGGAAGAAGGAACGTATTATAATAAAGCTCCAGAAAAATGCAAAGCTCTTAAAAATATTTTTATTTTCCTAATGGTGGACATCATAATTTTCTTAATGGTGGACATCAGTGGTTCAAGCGACGCTTCCATTAATTCTTGCTTTACATTTGAGTGATTTGGGGGCATGAAAGAGATAGAGGCCTCTTTAGGGTTACAGAGGACCAACCTGCCTCTGGAGTCTGCATAGCCTGCCATCTTAGGTACTTCGTTGTGGGCAGAGAGAAAAAGCACTTGTCAAAGCATCACTTGGCCACCTTACCCTGAGCTTTTCTGTATTTTGATATGGATTTGCAAATGTTCCTAAGTATATCCAAAGTGCTGACTCTTAACACAAGGCTTCCACACAGGGATGCAGTGGATTTGATGACAGCTGGGAGAACTGCCTTTGCTATATCCCTTGCCCCTGCTGTACCTTGGTCCCCCACATTTCTCTTACCACTTCACCCATTTCTTGACTCTGTAACTTATTGCACACTACTGTCTAATTTCTGACAAATTGCCACAGAATGAAAAAAAAAAAACCTCTCAGACTAGGAACCAGGAGACCTCTCAACTCATCATTCAGTAATATGGACTTACACACCTTTATTCTTAGAACTTATGCTTACATATCTGTAAAATAGAATAATTTCCGCCCACCTCTGCCTTGCCAGACCGTGTTCTCCTCCACGGGAATGTGACGGTCATTCAGTAAATGGATAAAGGAGAGCTTAGTAACCAGAAGTGTCTTACAGTTGGGAGGGCTTATTATATAAACACCTGTTTATACGACATGGACCTGTAATTGTGAGTTCTTCAGAGGGTCAAAAGAGAAAAATCCGTGCTCTCTTACTTTAAAATCAGTAATTGTAAAATGCAGCTGAATTGTTAATGGTACATCAACTGTCATCCTTATTTATGCAAATTTATACACAGTATATTGTTTGAATTCTTCCAGCCATGGCTCTTCAGAGACAAGGAATGGAGCCTTCCCCATTTTGTGTAATTATGGAGAATGCCGAGCAGTTCCGCAAAGGCCAGGTGTCGTCCCACAGCAGCACTCAAGTCCTAGAGCCCCCTTTTACTCTTCCTTCAGACATTATTATACTGTGTTTGTCTGGAACCTAGGTACATTTGTAGAGCCCTCAAAATTTTGTATTTTACATATTTATAATAAAACTCAGAAAACTTTTTTTTTTCCTCTCTCTCTCCTCTAACATAAATATGGCTGTAGGGAGGAGAGAGGCACAAAATAATGTCTTTTGTTTGAAGATTGTAAAAGGGGAGCGTTTCCCACCATGGGTTAGAAGTAGGCTCAAGCCCAATCTTCATTCTGTGGTCACGGTAATTACTCATTACCAATGCCGTATAGTCTATAAAGTTCTTCCTCCCCTTCTCCTTTCCAGTTCTCTCCATAACCTGACAAGGTAGGTTGGATTATTATCCCCAAGTGTCCACTACACTATGAGCTTCACACACGGGACTAGTTTTTGTCAGTTTCTCTACCTGTATCATCCAACTCAAGTAAGTGTATATATGTTCAGTTTATATAGTTTTCTAGTGAGAAAAAAAATGCAAGGGTGTTTTGTGGCCCACACAGGACCCATGGTTTCTAATATATTCTAAAGGAAGCCTTAAACTTCGATCTTCTGATGCTATATCCTGTTGCAATTATAGTAGATATCACCAGTTCTATACTCAGAGAAAAAGTGAGGAACAACCCTTGAGTAGGGAATGTCGTATGTAATAACATGCCTAGTATAACAAACCAATCCCAGTAAGTTTTCAAATCGAAATTATGCTAAATGGAATTGTTTGTTTTCCTTTGTCTCCCAGGAGACTTGTCAAAAGTCAACAGAAGAGTTGTTTGGGCTCCAGGCTTCTCCTGTATAGAGAGGCTGTTGGCAACCCCATGGGTTCTCTCATGGCCCATGAGCTTCTGTGCTGAGAAAGCAGGGTTCCACATTGGGGCCTCTGCATGCCAGCAGGCTATGCTGCCATTTCCCCATTTGACTGGCTTTGCACTTATTTTCTGCATATCCTAAATGGCCCAGGAAGCTGCCAATGAAGGTCCTCAGCTGGTTTGAAATTGGCACCTTCATGTCCTTTGTAAGCCTGTGGGTCTTCACAGGGTTCTTCTCCTTCATTGATTTCCAAGCTTGTTTGACTTGTAGGGCAAGACTGGATAAAGGGATGGAGAAAAAATAATATGGAGGCCAAAAGAAATTGCAATTATTTTCTCTCTCACAAAAGAGATTCTTTAGGAGGATGTTCAACTCTGTACTCTATACATTCAGGAAAAATATGATTTGATGATAGCCTTGCAATCCTTCCCTAGTTAAAAAAAAAAAAAAATTCTCAGATGGAAACACAAATAACTTCTTGTCATAGGTCCTAGAGGAATATTTTTACAAGTGTATAGCTTAAGGTCATGTTTTAATCTGAGACCTGTTCATATGACTAGTCCTGCCTCTCTAATGTCATATGCTCACCGTCATTCCCATGTTTGTGTTCCTAGGACCTCGATGCAGTCTCAGTCTACATACGGTAACAGCTCCCCACCTCTGAACAAAATGAACAGCATGAACAAGCTGCCTTCCGTGAGCCAGCTTATCAACCCTCAGCAGCGCAACGCCCTCACCCCTACAACCATTCCTGATGGCATGGGAGCCAACAGTAAGTGCTTCTTCCTTTAGCTGCACCTTAGGGGTCAATGGGGTTAGTGTAGGGGAAGACTCTGCTCTAGGATGTGGGAGAGGCTTGCTCCTAAACTAAGGAGAGGCAGAGCAGGACAGAACAGATCACAGTTTCATGGCTTGAGTTTCTTACGGTGAACTTTTTGTCACTTTGGAAGTGTATAGTTCATTACAAAGCACAGTGGTAGAGATAAAGGAGGTTGTTCCTTCAGTAGGGTAAAGGACCTCTGTGATAACAACATTCCACTTCCTGTCAACCTGGTTGGGGCCCACCTCCTACCTCCTTTGAGAAAGCAAAAAGGAGATCTATCCACCATGTAGAAAGTAACATGATGTAATAAACTTAAAAGTCTAGAGAAATAGATTGTGGAGTCTGGACTCTATAGCAGTATTAGCTGTGCAACTGTGGGCAAGTGCCTCTCCGCTCTAAAATTCTGTTTCCATTCATAAAATTATCACTCTGCACATTTAACCTCTTATGATTCTGTGCCCCGATGACCTTGGCCTTCTCAGCTTGTCTACTTCATCTTGTGTAGTCATTGAGGAATTGGCATAGAGAAGGGAGTCTCCCATTTACTTATTCATGCAAAGACTAAGTCTAATTGTAAGAGGTAACATGAGAATCAGCCGTCCAAATGGATGATGATTGCTATATAGCATTGCTGTAAATAGAATTATTCACTAGAACTAAATCTAGCAGAGTGAATTCCCAAACTAGAGAAAACCAGAAGGAGGATAAAATGCAGAAGGATGTCTCCTACCCTCAGGGATGCAGAAGCCCAAACACTGTATTTGTATCCTGAAAGGCCCCTCAGAAAACAATGCCTCCATCTTGTCCTTTGAAATCCTTTATTATTCTGATCAGGCCTTTCAATGTGCTTTTCAGTATTGCCTTAAAGAGACTAGGGTTTTTTGTTTGTTTTTGTTGGGTTGTTTTTTTGTTTTTGTTTTTGTTTTGTTTTGTTTTAAGAAGTTAAGGGAAGCTAGGATTGTGACTCTCTATGGTCTGATGGCAAACATTCAGATTTAAATGAGATAGAGTGTATGAGGTATTGTTGCCTGGTCTGGCAACAAAGACTTGAGAGCCAGACTGATCTCTCACCTAGGATGCGTTCATCCTAAGGCTCAAATCCTCACCCCTTGATAGGTCTGCTGCTTTGACAGTAAAAGGAAAAAACACCATGTATATTTTTACTTTATTTTCTTCCTTGTGACATTGTAGAGTCCTTTTGTTCCTTCAGGTTTATAAAAGTTATAGTTTGCCTACTTTTTCTCATTTATACTTCACAATTTTTCTTTAATGTCATTGACAAAGTCAGAGGGAAAACTGATGAGATATGATAAAACCATGCTCCTTAGCTGCCCAGTTAGTGGCAGAGGCCTCTCCTTTTTGGCATATCTTATTCAATAAAAAACAAAACAAAAACCAAAGAAAACCAAATTGCATTAATCTTTTTATAGATATGTTCCTTTACTCTTTTTTTGACCTGAAGACAAAATTTGCTTCATAGATATTATCGGTATTAACCTTTTCTTCTCTATAGGTGAATGTTTCCAGTTTGTAGTTTAGTTAAAAAAAAAAAAAAGTTGAGGTTGCTGGTACCTCTGAATACAATCCAGAAATGGACCCTAAGAAAGAGCTGGGATCTTTAATTTCATCCTTCCTTATTAGGCTTATGGCTCCCAAATATTGCAGTAAATCCTCCTATCCCCAGACAAATATTCCAGAGGTCACTGTCTCATTCACAGGTCTCTGCATTTGTTCACTGCACATCAGTTTACTGAGCATGTGATTGATGCCAGGCACTGTGCAAGGGTTTGTGGGGATTGAGACAGGTACAGGATCTAATCTCCAAGCTTGAGGCATTAGCCTAATGAGAGAGACAGAAGTATAACCCACGAAAGGCAGATGCAAAGAGGAATATGTTAACATCAGGAGTAATGAGCATTTAGAGCATTAGAAGTAGGGAAAGAAGTGGGGGGAGATGATTCTAAGGGAACATGTGAAGGTCGAAAAGCGTGCATCTAGTTCGGAGTTTGGTGACTGTTCTGTTCTGTTGGATGAGATGTAGGGTGCTCGAAGGGGTGCAGTGAGAGAGAGAAGGCTGGCTAGGAAGGCTGGTGAATTCGGCCCTAGGTAACATTAAACCAGGCAAAATGGACCACTGGGAAGCAGGTACTGATGACGGCAGTAACCCTCTCTGTTCCTCCTGCTTCTGTTCAGTTCCTATGATGGGCACCCACATGCCAATGGCTGGAGACATGAATGGACTCAGCCCCACCCAGGCCCTCCCTCCCCCACTCTCCATGCCATCCACCTCCCACTGCACTCCCCCACCTCCGTACCCCACAGATTGCAGCCTTGTCAGGTGAGTCCACAGCATGTGCCCCTGGGGGCCTGTCCTAAGCAACTCTGGGTGGCGGAGGGTGGACAATCTCAGAGTTCATGACACAGCTGGGGGAAAAAAAAGGGAAGGAAGCAGACCTTCCTCTGGTGGCAGTTCAACACTGTTACCTCTGATCTGTGGAGTGGTCAGCAGTGTTGCATCAAGGAAAAGCACAATGATCCGCATGGGAAAAAGTGAAAATGTGAGTTGATAGGCATATCATTTTTCATGCCTGTTTCCCCCCATCTTCACTTACACCCCCCCCAAAGTTTTACACGGTCAGTTGGGGCCTTCGAATTGGTGCTCAGGGCTGGGGTTCCCAGAAGGGCAGTAAACTTGCTATCTCGCTCCCTTTCCCATTCTCCAGGACTCATAGCTCTCAGCCACCACGGCCTCGTTATGTCAGAGGGGGATGTGCATTAAAAAGTTTGAATGTATGCAAAAACGACAGAGACTTGCAAGAACCCGATGGTCATTGCTGCTTTGCCATAGGCATGAACGCATGTTCTAGGCAAGAGCACACAGATAGCCAGAAGAAAGAAAAGCATAAAGCCTCAAAGGCAAGAGTGGGTGCCATGTCTCCTGCCTAGCACACATTGGCTGCCCCTACTTCATGTGCAGAATGATCCTCTCATTTGGCTGCTGGAATAATGGGCGTTGGTCCCCCTGTGATTAATGCAACAGTACCAACCAGCATCAGCCAGACAGATGGCAAAGTGCACGGCTTGTGCCACCCAGCCTGTGGTTTGGTGATGGCGGCCTTACCCATCTGAGGCCAGCACACCAAAGGAGGCATCTGTATTCTGAGCAGGACATAAATCAGAAAGCAGTAATGACATCAGGGCATAGTGGCCTCCAGTTTTTCTTAGCCACACGCACCGTTCTCAGAAACCCACTGATAAAAAGCAATTCTAGCGGAGATGCTCTTTCAGAAGTGAAGAGGCAGGAGGCAAGAGCGCTGGGAACCTGACCCCTGGACTCCTTCCTTTCACCCCCTGCAATGGCTCCTAAGGCACTTACCTATGTAGAGCACCAAGAATTCCACCAATCACTGCTCTGCAGGAATCCTCGGAGTTGATTTTAATTTCTATAGACCTAAAGTTCAAGTCACTACCTATCCCCAAACCTCAAACCCAAGGCCCACACGGATTGATTTCATCTCCCCCTAGCCTCTCCTGTAAGGCATCCCAGGGCAAAATGTTGGGTTTTCCTTTACCTCGCCAATGCAGTTGGGGTGAACTTTCTTTTTCTGTTTCCTCCTTCCTCTTCCCTCCTCCCTCTGCAGTTTCTTAGCGAGGTTGGGCTGTTCATCATGTCTGGACTATTTCACGACCCAGGGGCTGACCACCATCTATCAGATTGAGCATTACTCCATGGATGTAAGTAACTGTTAGACATTTCTCTTGAGTTTTATTTCTTCCTTTCTTCCCTCTGGTGACATCCACCTGGTAGTTCAGTTCCCCCTGGTTTTAACACTGGTTTTTAGCATGCCCTCAGTCCTCAATTTCAGTGGAAACCATTACCAGATTAGAAAAACTCCCAGGCCTCCGCCTACATATCTGAGAAGGATAGCAATCAGTCTTCCTCAGCTCATCAGCTCAGCCAACAGTTGTCTGTTGCACACATATTCTATTCAGAGTGGGAAAGAGGAGATCTAATTCCTGCCTCCACGAAATTTACAATCTCTGAAGAACTCCAAGAATTTTCTAGATGTTCTCATTAATCGGTATGAGACTCCAAAGAAACTAGCAGGAAGCAGGTGATATTATTCTCACTTTAAAACATGGAGAGGTGACAGTACAATCATTTGCATCATGAGATGATGACAGAACCAGGAATAGAGCCCTGAGGTGGAAGCTTCTGGTCTTTAACTCTATTCACTGGCTTCTTCTACCTTTCCTTAAAGTCAGACTTTAAGGAGGAGTCCGCTGTTTCTCTGTTAGAACTGTGTGTTCATTCATTTTCAATTCTATCAGAATAAGGTCAAGCCATCCCTGATCATTGGCAAAAATCACTGGTCATGGTTCAGGTCCCATCCATGCTTTTTATAAGAACGAGAACCTGGGGTTATCACTTTGCCTCTCTGAGCCTCAGTTTATCAAATGGGGTTCAAAAGCCCTTCCTTCTGGCTTTGATGTCCCTTGTCTTTTGGAGCAAGCTGGATAGAAGGGGACTTTTTCTTCCTTCCAACACTGCTTCTTGAACTGCTCACATGGGAGCTTGTATTGTTCTGGTTTGCAGCAATCCAATTCTCCTCCCAGGCTGCCCTTCATGCTGCTCTCTTTGGGGTTTACTATCCTCTTTTCCAGCTTCCAGAGGGCCTTTTGAACTGGTGGAAGAAGATACTGTCTGCCTCTGCTGCTGCTTCTCTAGTTGGGATCTATTCTTTCCCCTCCTTGAGCACCGATGCTAGAGATGCCCCTGCAGCATGAGAATCCCCCAGCCCTGTGATGATGAGAATATGCCTTACCGCCCTTCCGCCCACCCCTCCACCCCCCACCCCATAAATCACCCTGGCTGCTATTCTCTGATGGAATGAATTAAGTGGAAACTGTAATGCAAGCTTTAGGAGTAAGTTTTGACAAGTTTCATGTCACTTTACAATGGTGTCCATCCGTTGAGGAGAAGAGAGCTGCCCTGTGCTTGACAGCCCTATGTGATAAAACAGGGAATATGTCCTTTCTTATATTGTTAAAATGATGCCTTCCACTTGCTGACTGTCCCCACTGGGGAGTGTGTCAGGAGGCTCCTCCCTTGGCTCTTAGCATCTGCAGATGTCCTCCACAAGTCCCTCTCTGCTGGTGTTGGCTAGGTTTCATGTCAATGTCTGGGCCACAGCTTCCTCACCTGTCAGTTCTGAGTTCTGATCTATCCAGAGAATCACACAGCTTGATGGGGGATAGTGTACAGAGTTCTGGACTTACTGAGAATTTCCGAAGCATAAAGACTTACACTTCCTTATTTATGTGTGGGTTGCCTTTTTATAACGTATCCTTCTGCTAGACTGGGAAATCGGAGGACGCATACTATAGGCATCCAAAAGGGGAAGTAACTGGGAGGCTCTCTAAATTCTGCAACCTCTCCTCAGCTTCTCCCATCTCATTACTGGAAATAGAAACCCTTTCCAGCTTTTTGTCTCTCAACGCCTGTCTGAGTTGCTTGGAATCTCTTCCTAGAAAAAGAATATGGTTCATTTGGCAAGTTTTCCTAAGTATCCCCTCTAAGATGCTGGGATGGCTTCATAAAAATTTAATATAGTAATAATGCAAATGGTTAAGCTTTAGATAGTGTGCTTCATAACTTCCAAAATACTTTCACATCCATATTTACACCTGAACCAATACTGTGTGTTGACGTAAAAAAGGAATTCTGTGCCGTTTTACTAAGGAAGAAACTGAGGCCAATAGGGGAAAAGTGACTTGAGGAAGGTCTAGAGCCAGTCAGTGACAGTATAAGAACCTCTGTCAAGAGCTTCTTACTCCAAGCACAGTGTTCTTTCTACCCACCACGCTGCTCCATAAAAGAGTAAGCCATCACTGAAGCCAGCTAATGAAGGGATAGTGCAGATAACTGTGAGAGATGTCATTGCAGTTAGTTAAGACAGAGCATGTTCATAATGCCTTCCACTCACATTCATAGAACATGGACACATACTCTGCATTTGGATACCCTGATTTATCCAAACACCAGTGACCTTCTGGCCATTAGGGCAGTTTTAGGTTCAGAGGCTGTCCTGAGTCCCCAATTCATTTACTTAATTGGGTAACTTTAGACTTGTCAACCTCTCTGACCTTCAGCTTTTCGACCTATAAAACAGATACCACTAATCTGAGCATTAAATGAGATCATGAATTAAAATAATTAGTTCAGTGCCTGGCATGTAGAAAGTGTTCATTACCTGTTAGCAATCTTTTCTTCTCATCAACTTACTTGAGCAGTGGTGATGGTCCATTAATCTCTCTCTTCTAGTCACAAGAGCCAGGTAGATTTAAGAGTTGGAAGGTACCTTTATCTTCTGTTTTTGTTGCAGGATCTTTGCCGTCTGATCTAACCACTATCCCTATTTTACCAGCAAAGAAACTGAGACCAGGCGAGAATAAGTGAAGTGTTATCCACAAGCAGAAATGGCACCTCAAGGCTGTACCTTTTGCTTAGTTACATATAATGCCAAAGGTTATCTGAGAACTAATCATATTTTGTAGAGAGCAGTAAATTCACGTGGGTTAAATCAGAACACTGGGAATGACAAAATGATGTGGACTAAATATCAATTTGTCTCTTTGTCCTAATTCTCCCTGATACCCTTCCTTATTTCATAGGATTTGGCAAGTCTAAAAATCCCTGAACAATTCCGACATGCCATCTGGAAGGGCATCCTGGACCACCGGCAACTCCACGACTTCTCCTCCCCTCCCCACCTCCTGCGGACCCCGAGTGGTGCCTCTACCGTCAGTGTGGGCTCCAGTGAGACCCGGGGCGAACGTGTTATTGACGCTGTGCGCTTCACCCTGCGCCAGACCATCTCCTTCCCACCCCGCGATGAGTGGAATGACTTCAACTTTGACATGGATGCTCGTCGCAACAAGCAACAGCGCATCAAAGAAGAGGGGGAGTGAGCACTACCATGTTAACTCCTCCCATGCTCTCCCTGTCTGTCTTTCTGTCTGCCTTCTTACAAGGCACTAGTGCTTGACCTTCAAAGTGTCCTCCCTAGCTCCTCTCCTTCCTCTTCTCAGTCTGGCTTCTTAAGGGAAGAAGTAAGAGGTTATCTTTGATCTAATGTCCAACCTGGCACCTGATTCTGATTTTGGCTTTAAGCCTTCAAATCTATTGCTTGCAGAACTGAAGTTATCATGGCTAGGTGGAAGTGAGCAAAAGAGCAGTGGGTATCTCCTTAAGCTGCAAAGATTTCTCATTGACTTTTATAAAGCATTTTCACCCTTATAGTCTAAGACTATATATATAAATATATAAATATACAGTATATATATTTTGGGTGGGGGGCATGGAGTATTGTTTAAATGTAATTTAAAGGAAAGGAAATTGAGTTGCACTTATCAGCTTATTTTTTTAATTTACTTGTTCGGATGGCTTATCTATGCCCCTTCTTTCAAGGGGTATCATGTATGGTAATAGGTATCTAGACATTGATGGCACATATGAATGACAAAAATGTCCTTTCAGTTCTTCCGATGCAAAGCAATTGCCACATCAAAGCTTTGGATGGATCCAGTTGTTTTTACCATTGCATAATGTGTGTATGAGAAGGTGTTCTGGGGTGTCTGTGACTCTCAACTGTCTCTTGCCCATGTGGTACAGGGGCCTAGACCTCCAGGTAACAAAGTGTGAAAACTACTGACCCACATATGCATCTAATTTGTGAGAAGAAATTGATTCTAGAAGGCACCTTGCATAAGCCTGTTATCACTACAAGTATTTTAAAGTATACCACGCTGTGACTTATTTCATGAAAACACGTTTTTATCTTACTACTGGTTAGTATCCAGAAGAAATAGAAATTGTATTGCATTTTACAGAACAACAAAATGTTATAAGAGCTACTCATCATCAACTTCTCATTGTTCCTTATGATTTCCCTTCCTGTTAGGCTCCTTCTCTCCCTGATTATTCCTCAAAAAAGTGTATACATATGATTTATCATACACACACACAAACATACAATACATATCTATGTATATAATTTTATATCCACCCTAATTTTCCTCTTGAGTCTGTCTAGTGGCATCATTTCTATATGCTTCCCTAAGCACCTCAGTTACCTACAAATTAATAACTTTGAGTAAGAACAGATCATCCGAACTTTGGCAGAAGAATCCTCTCTATATCCTGGATCCCGGCTGTAGTACCTCATGTTAGAAACCTAAAGGGTTTATGAGCTGCCTCCACTCACTTTACTGGAGGGAAAACCAAGGGCCTGGAAGTGGAATGGGCTGTCTGAAGTTAAGCGATGTATACATTGTTACAGGAGGGCTGAACCCACAAGCTGAACACATGGGCAAGACACCCCTTCCTTTACCTTCTTGGAAGATAAACGATCTGAAAAATAAAACACCAAACCCATTTATCTTCCTTCCTCAAACAGCTGTTCATAGTCACAGGCGTGTGAGACTTGGGGATCCCTGCAGCACCACGTAGGCCAAAGGCTCTCTTCCAGCTTCCCAGCATGTCCTTCTTCTGCTTACTTCTCCCCACCCCCCCCCACCTCATCATTGTTAGGCATACACTCAATGTAAATGCAATGCTTACCAAGGAAATGGAGGCTTAGGATGGGAAACTCTAATCTCACAGGTTTGCTGAGGCTACTGCTTGTTTAATAAATGTACTAGTGCTTCAGAAATGTTCCCAGGATGAAACTTGCATTTTCCCTCCACCAGCTTTTCGTCAGAACACACATGGCATCCAGATGACATCCATTAAGAAACGGAGATCCCCAGATGATGAGCTGTTATATTTACCAGTGAGTCTCCCTTGAGTCTTCACGATTGCTTTATTTTTACCTTCTCTGTGACAATTATCTGTGACATCTGATTATCTGTAACATTGAGAAAGGGATGATGGTGACTAGGGAGATAAGACAAGAAGAAAACATTGTTTGAGAAATCAGGAAATGATCCCTCCCCTCCCCTATTTTGGAATCTGTCAGTAGTGCAGGCCCCTCTACTTAAAACTTACCCAGTCAAAGCACCTCCTCTAATATAATTTTTCTTACCCAAATATTTACAGCTAAGTTGCCGTTCATTGTTTAAGAATGATAAAGTTACCCTAGACAGTGTGACTGTACCATCCTGTGGCCAAGACTGAGATTTTGTCAGAAGGAGCTCACAGATTAGACAGTAAAACAATTACAGACTTGACTGCAATTTCTTTTAGGAAGTGCTCTAAAGAAAGCCAAGCCAGACAGAATCCTCAGTTATATGTGAATGGCCAGAAGACTCAGCCCAGTTGTTATATAAGAGCATTGTTCATACCTACGAGGACGTAAGTCCTCTCAAGGTCACTAGAGGGTCTCTTTCTAGACTATGGTTGCAGTCTGTGGGATGCTTAGCATGTTAGGTTTTGGCCATTGAGAGTGGTGGCAAAGTCTTGGCAACCAGCATAACCATAGACACCACTTAGCGTACCTGAGACCCAGGTATGCAGGGCCAGGAGATTGGGGAGCTGCCTCCCCTGTATTGAAGCTAAACCAACTGGACAGGTTTGGGTGTGCCATACCTGCTCCCCTGCCTTCTCTAGGCCCTGACCTTCGGGGCAACAGACTGCTTGCTCGTAAAACAATAAGACGGTGAGTTGGCCAAGATTCTCAGTGTCTATTTTCTCAGGCTATGTATGTAAACGGACTTGTGAACTTTAAGTTCAACATTATCCTGATAGACCAAATATTCCAAAAGAACTAATGTGTTTTCAGCTGCTGAGTTAGGAACCAGGTTGTACTAAGGAAGGCGGTACCTTGTCATCCGTCACATCTCATGTTTAGTGAAGATTTTGCCAAACTGGAATGTGTGAATTAAGGGGGAAAAAAAAAAGACAAACTTTTAATTTAACATGAATTTAGTTGATATCTGTTGGATGGCAAATATGCTAGACCCTGAGCATTTGGAGTAGAATAGAATTTTTACCTTCTAAGGATTTGCCTTCTAACAAGGAGACAGAACATAATGAAAGAAATCCTTCTGCAGAGCTGGACTTGATGGCATGGGATAGAAAGGACAAAACATTCACCCAGAGTCTGAGGTCAGGGAAAGCTTTGCAGAGGTGACCACAGAGCTGGGATAAGTAGGAGTTAACCTGACATACGGTAGAGAAACCCTTCCATTTCTGAATTCTGACAAATCCTGCCTCTCACGGAGGGGACTGGGAAAATGCCTAGGAAACGGAACTGAAATAGGCACCCACTCATGGGACCCCACAAGTGCTCACGTGCCCTGCTTGTCTCACGCCAGTCCTGATCCTGCTCGTGCTTTGAAAAATTTTTAAGAGACCCTCTTAAATAGAGAAGCATGTTTTGCCTCAGCTGAGAATGTCTGTCTTTCCAGAGATTGTCAATAACCGTTAATTCTCATTACTTTCAGTAGTTGTTTCTTATAAAATCACTGCAGATGCTGTTCTAACAAATATTGAATCATGGGGAAGTTCAGGGTAAAGTTCCTGTGAGTCTCGGATCACAATATTTCCTGTGACCAGTCAGTACATACCCTTGTTTGATGTGTGTTTCTGTTTAAAGACACCTTAGTTCACTTAGTATACTATTGACTCATTTACACTGAACTCATGACCAGCAGCGCTATAATTCATGCCTAAATGAAGCTTATCAAACACATTTTCTCCATAAAGCATGTTGCAGCCTTCTGGCACCTGGAATCCTAGACAGCACTTCAACATTACCCTTGGGGAGCAGTTTAAAGAGCAGGTTCACCAAAAAACAAACAAACAAAAAACAAAAAAACAACCCCCCCCCAAAAAACCCCACAAAACCCAAAAAACAAAAACAAAAAACAACAACAATAAAAACACACATACACAAACGTGGAAAATGTGGTGCTGAATAGACCGAGGAAAGGACACTTGTTGTGACACGAAAGCTGGAACAAGACAGCATGCCCTTGTTCATCAGAGCTGGGCACATGCCTGAGCAGCTGCGATGTGTCCCCCGTGTGAGTCTGTGAAAGGCCACAGAGCGTCGTGAGTCTTGGTTTCTCTGTTACAAATGAATGTTAGCAAGCAGGTGAATTTGGCAATACTGAGTCCACAGATAAGGAGGACTGATAGTACTACTGACTATTCTAGAGTTCTTCATCTTTCCTTTCTCTCTCCTTACGCTCTGCACGCAGGTGAGGGGCCGTGAGACCTATGAAATGCTGCTCAAGATCAAGGAGTCTCTGGAACTCATGCAGTATCTGCCTCAGCACACGATTGAGACCTACAGGCAGCAGCAACAGCAGCAACACCAGCATCTACTTCAGAAACAGTGAGTGTGTCGATGTGTCCTTTCAGGAGGCGTGAGTAAGAGTGACTGTTCATTCCGGTCAGAAATGGGGTGATGGGTGGGTGACGTAGAAGACAAGTCGTGAGACAGCAGAACACCACAGGTGACTCCTTTGGAGTTTCAACAACCTTCTGGGTTTCTTTCCATAGCTTGGAGAAGGTTCCACCTAGCTTCTGAAATTGAAGCTAAAACATTTCAGGTGAATTACAAAGAGACTGACGCTAACACAGTTTGTTCCCTCTACCCCGCATCCATACACATCTGTCAATAGAAGAATTCTGAGCATACGCTCTCCTCTAGTCGTAATGTGTATATTTAACCACATGTGTATTTAACAACATGTAACCTTCCCTCATCCCAGTGGATTGTCCTGTACCTTGCCTGGGAGGCACACAGTCCACTTTTGGGAGAACCATTGTAGACTGGGGATAGCACATAGGTTTTATTGGAAGTGACTCCTTGGAGTTCTCCGTCGAGGATTCTGAGACCAAGTGCATGCTCATGGGGAGACTGTCTGGATGCCAGATGGCAAAGTAGCATCTTCTTGCCATTCTTAGCATCTCTGTTCCCTGTTGTCTTCCAGCAATATGTTTTTACATAAATTGGGCCAGATTTTGCAACCATATTATCTCTGTGCAATGTATATGTTATATATTTATATGTTAATTTTTACCTTGACTCTTAGATCTTTGATGATATGAACTGTTTTATGATTAATCAGAACAGAATAGCTCTTATGGGAGAAAGGAAAGTTGTCAAATCAAGACTCTGTTGAGTCTTAACCCTTCTATGGTTAAGAATGATCACTTGTTAGCTTAAGTGTCTATACTGGAAATATTGGCAGAGTCTCTGTAGATAATGTAAAATGTATACATTGTAGGCCCATTTAAGTAATTCGGACATTCAACTCTACTCTTCAGACAAAAAGAAACGAAGCCAAAATCATCTTGCCTTTTACAGTAGAAATGTAAATGAACACTAAATAATGGTTATTTTCTGATACATTAATAGCTGCTATAGAGAGATAGCGACGGAAAGTACAAGAAAGAGGGCTCCTCATCCTCTTTTTAATCAGCATAAATGCAGTCGAGGACTTGGACTGCATCTGTGAAACTCTGGAGGCATCCTCTGAGCACCTGCTGGCTCTAGGGTACGGGATAGGCAGCTGAGCGGTGGAAAAGAAGTTTGTGCTCCCTTAAAGGACTTCAGGCTCATTGAGCATTTAAGACCTCATTTGCCTGGAAGGGATCTCACCATTTACTTTGAGCATGAAAGTTTTGCAAATCATAATTATAAGGTTTTACAGTAAGGCTGAGTGGGAAGTTTAATCAGAAGGTTTCTTGGGGACACAAAGTATTCCAAAGGAGAATGAGAACGCAGGGTTGCAGACAGAGTTCCCAATGCAAATCCTATATATTCTTTAGGATATCAGAAGGAAATATATGTTAATATATTCAAGTGTAAAACTGATTTAGTTCTTTGTAAAATCTTGCAGCAGGGATCAAAGAAACAGACCAGTAATATCATTTACAGACCAAGAGAGGCTAAGTGCCTCTCTCTTAAGAGGGAAATATACATGTGATGGTATTAAGAAACACTCCCCAAATGCCTCTAGTTCACTCTGGAAATGTCTGGCTCAGCCAAAATGACCTCAGAAGGATTACATAGCCACATATCATGCTGAAATAGTTACTCTGTGGTAGTCTTCCCTGTCTTTTTTCCAGCTAACAGGAGAAGAACTGTCAGACCAAATTGATACTTATTAAATGATGTGGCTTAGAAAATCTGGCCATTTAGCACAGGGGTTGGCAAAATGTTTTTTCTGTGAAACACCAGTAGTAAACATCTTTGATTTTTGGGTCCATATGTTCTCTTGTAACTTGCTACCTAGTTCTGCCTCTTGGCACAAAATCAACCACAGTGTGTAAATGAATGAGAGTGGCTGGTGCTTTTCATGGACACTGCACTTTAATTCCCTATCATTTTCGTATCATGAAAGAATTCTTCTTTTGAATTTTCACACTTTTAAAAACATAAATGCCATTCTTAGCCTGTGGGCCAGGTGTAGCCCATTCACTGTAGTCTGCCAGTTTTTGTTCTAGGCAGATGGGTGGATCTTCCTTCACGGCCTCTCAAGGCTTTGATTTATTTTCAAAGATTTATTTATTTTTTGGAGAGAGGAGAGGGAGGGGCAGAAGGAGAGGGGGAGAGAAACTTAACCAGACATAGGGCTTAATCTCAAGACCTTGAGATCCTGACTACCTGAGCTGAAACCAAGAGTCAGGCACTTAACCGACTGTGTCATCCAGGCACCCCATGGTTTAGATTTTTTTTTTTAATAGGAATATTTGGAAGCTAATATGTGTATCCTAAAGTAGAGAGGCATGGAGATGTTTTAGAAAAGCACACAGTGATTTATAAAATGGTATTTCAATATCTAACAAAACGACAGCCTTTAACAGAGATCTCTTTTTTCTGAGAAAGTTAGGCATGTCCATCCAGACACCAAGTATGGTTAATGATGAAATCGTATCATCGCCTAAGACTGCTATGGTTGAGTTGATTCATGTAACAAACTTTTACTGGAGACCTGTTACGGGTGAATTCCTAACCAGACCACATTTTGAATCTTAAGAAAGCTCTGGAAATTCGTTCTGCTCATTGTTTAAATTAATAGGACAATTTGAAACAATTCCTCTCGATCACACAATAAAAGGAATGGTTTCATGTCATACTTTTTGAGATTTTTAAGCAGGAAGATCCACTGTAGTCAGTCGGGGACGTGGGCAATTTGTGTTTGTTGACATAAGCATACATAACCCTGTGTTCGCAGGGGATGAGTTATCCAGGGCTCAGTCGGAGTGGCTGACACTGCTCTGGAGGGAAATTATTTTGTAAAGCAGTCTATTTCATCAAAGAAGAAAATGCATATTAAAATTGTTATTTTAAAAAGCCTGAGAGATATTAGAAACATATTGTCCCTTTCTTGCAAGTGTAGCCACAGATAAATAGTGAGGGAACAGAGCCTCATGGGTCCCTGGGGTATCCATTTAAAAGCAACATTGCATGTTTTCAAGTTGTTACCTCCCAGTATACAACAGTTAACTTCAATGTGATGATTTGTACATAGAAATGTGACAGACTGCAAAAGGAAATCTTTGCAAAATACAGACATTTGTTCTGATTTTGCCTTTGTTACATTTATACGGGTCTCCAACGATTGATAAATGTCTATATAAATTCTCCAGTTGCTGTGTTCTTCCCGAGTTTTATTCTCCCTCCCCGGACTCTCTTATTTTCATGCAAATCTCGAAGAAAGAGCATGAATGACTAGACAAAGAAAAATGGAAATCTGATTCCCTGACAATCATTTGAAAATAATAAATCACGTTAGAGAATGCCTATAATAGCCTGTGATTTCCTTTCCAAAAATACAGAACGATTTTATGCTGGTAAGGGATCAATTTTGTGTTTCTCTTTTTAGTAGCAGAAAAATTAGAGGGAAGGAAATATACAGTTTCTACTAAGCAGCAATAAAATATTTTCAGTTGAATTACTTCTTTTAGTTTTTCACTGTGTGTTTTCTCTCTGCTTGCTTTTCATTTATGCATGGTTTTCCTTTTTCAAAAATCCCTTCAGTTACCTTCATGATCATAGGCTTTATGGAGGTTAAATTTTACACTGAGTTCTTATGAATCAAATTGTTACAGATATGAGTAGGCTTTATACCATTTACAAAGAAATTTGATTTTAGTTGATTTGTTCACATGGGAATAAACATCTGAAGTTATGTTAATAGAAGCCAGAATCTAATGGGAGACAAACTGGACCCATTCTTGACACTAGACTGCTTACCTTCACATTTTCAAGGGAAAGTAACTCTTAAGACAGCTTTGGAGAAGCTGCCTGAGACCTTTGGAGTAATCTTTTGATGTGTGCACTTTGGACCAATAGTATTGCTTTTTCGTTTTTTCCTATAGTTTATCCTCCTTCTTGGCTTCCACTCTGATCTCAGGCCAACATCATTTTGTGAAAATTCTACTTAGCCGAACTCTTGTTTTCCCCTGGAAAATTATTTTTTAGTTTCTACTGATGGATTTATTTTAATCATAATACAAATATGTGACATCCCGAGGAGCCCTTAGGGTTTTCATTCTCCTTGAGATTTCTTGATGATTGTAGATTATCAGTAATGCAGGTCAGAGAGGGAGCATAGTGGGATCTTCAAGGTCATAGTTTTAATCTCATACCACAGCTGGGGAAACTGAGGCCCCGTGAACTACACCTTTGATTTCATGGCCAGTTTATAATAACACGAAGATGAGAATCGTATTTGGAAGACACAGCTCTTGGCAATGTTTCGTCGGCTTCATTAGTTAAGAAAGTTATAACAACACTAAAGCAAGCGTCTTTGCCCGCTTTTAGGTCTCTGCACCACTTGGCATTTATCCTTGTGGTTTGAATACGAAGTTTTACCTCTTTAAGCTCATTTGGCTATAACTTCCTTCAAGAATATTGATAGTTTTTCCTCAGATTGCATATCTGCAGGGGAAGCAAGCAGTATTTTGAGCATTATCGATGGAAGAAAGAGCAGAATACATACATCTCTACCTCATCATTAGGTGTGGTTTAGACCGTATTTCTAGGTTTGATTTAGAAATCCTTCACGTGTCCGGGGTATTTGTTTGAAATTGCCAGTCCCGTAGGTAAAAACAGGTGGATCTTGACAGTTTCACTTGGTTTAACCTTACAGGTCGAGGACCTGCACACTTTTTTGTAGTTTTACACAGTGCTACTTTCTGAATTTCACAGCTACGTTACAAAGTTGTCAGAGCAGAGATTTATTAGCTATGATTTGGTAATGAGGAAAAAACTGAGAGTAATTAAATTCAGATAGATTAAATCACTTTTCTAAGTTCTCACGTCTCATTGCACCACTAATCTCAGTTCTAGGTCTCAAAGTTTGAACCCCTGCGGTCCAT